GAACCACTGTCGGTGATCTGGACAGTTTCTCTTCTGGCGACAGTTGGCGCACTTTCCGAGCGAAACGAGAGAAACTACACAAGCGGGACTTTCCACAACGGTGGCGAGACTTGTTTCCAACTAACTGGCGAACTTCTGGACGGCAAGTGGAGACCTGTAAGAGGACACCGAGCCAACGGGATCGACAACAAACAGGAACTGCGCAGGGCGGTACGGTTATCGGGTTACTGGTGCGGCTTAGCTCGATACAGCTGATTTATTAGCGGAAGTCGATTAGCTCAAATCTTACACTTAATTACGAAAATCGTGATGCGTGACGACAAACGATCCGCTCGATGTATATATGTATGTGTATCGTCGCGTTTGCGAATATTGTTGCACTTTACAGACAACGGATCTGGAAAAATTCTCTCGCGCGGTCGAAAGAGAATAAAACGTTGTATTCAAAGCCACGATTTCCTTGTCCTGTGCACGTTTTTCCCCGACGATTTACGTACAGCCTCTAATCCGTATCAGACCCGCTGCGGGGATTTGCACGGGAATCCGGAATTATCCCGGTGGCCATTGAGGATGATCCTAAGTAAACACGCGTGCGGCCACACGACTCCCATCCCCACCACATTGCGAGTTTCTTCGTGTTAGCACAATTCCTTAGTAGCAACCCTCGAGCGAATGAAAAGGGAGGGGGATGACAATGCCCGGGCGGTGTTGTACAAGAGGAGCAGGTCAGTATTCGCCGACGTATTCGCGGAAAAAGGGACGGATTCGTATACGAGGACGGTAAAGGTGCTACTTTTATCCGAATGCAGCCTTCGCGTTTTCGTCGCGCGTTGAATGCGCGCCCTTCACGAGACGTGTTATGTCACGAACTGTCTTCTTTAAGGCTCACCGACCAACTCCCCGGACGACGAAAGCAGAGCAGAGGCGATACATCGGATTGCAGCTTGCTGCCGAAAGTGATGGATGGGAATTGAGACAAATCGATCGCGACGAGGAATACGTAGCAATCTTTCGTACCTGCGAGCAGATTTGCGAAAACTATCGTTCCCGTTAAATTTAAATATCTGGCATTATTATTTTGTCTAATATAACAAGTATAAAACTGCGCAAAAAACTGCTTTCATTATACTAACAATGTTATCTTATATAAGAACATATGTACATTTTCCCCCTGTATGTATGCTTTTAAAAATTTTTTTAAATATAAATAATGTATGCTTATACAATTTAAGCAAAATTGGCGTTAATATTTTTAAAGGTTATTACTTTTTATCTCTTTGCACATTTAGAACTGCAGCTGATGTTGGACACCCTAATATGTTCAAGCCGAGTGTGGTTTGTGGTTAGAAAGATCACTTGCTCTCGATATATTGCATCTTTGGTCGTAAGCGATAATAACGACAATCTACACGCCATAACGGATGCTCATTATCGCTTCGAAATTGCAGTTCTCGTTCGAAAACGTGACCGGTTGTGTGTACAAAAAGCGCTTAAGTGTCCTGTTTTGCGTCTATTTTTCGGGTCAGCGATACTCCCATTGTGCAGTTTTCAATAGAAAGACCCTCTCGGTATCATATAAAAATAATAGATAAATGCGTGTGGCTGAATGCATCAGCCATATGTAATGCTATTATACGACATAACCAGGTTTCTGTGACGCGACTATCCTTCATAACACAGGTTTGTTTCTGGAAGATCAAAAAGCCAATCGCGTCTCGCGGTCAGAATCTAGACCGCGATTTCTTGCAAGCACGCGATCCGAGATTCTCGCTCCGCTTGTTGATTCTTCGAGTGTTCCCGGAGAGTCACAGACAACGAATACGCTTAAAAGGAGATCAGGTAAGACCAGTCAGAGAGAGAAGCGCAGAAACGGCGCACGTCTCGTCGGGAGGATCACGGGAGAGAACATTCGTCATTATTACCATTGACCGTTAGTCCCCAGGATCTACTCATTCGGGTTTCACAGGAAGTAGGCCGGTCGGATCAAGGACCAGGCTGCCCTTTTCCATTTTGAGACGGCCCATTCAGGTGTAATGGTCAGTTAAAGACTATCCAAACAGAGGATACCACCGGTTCTCTCGATGAACTTCCGCGAGTCCTCTTTTTTTCTCATGACCGCGTATCTTCGACTCAAAATCTTCCGCTAGAAGGATCGAATCCTTTGTTCGCGTATCAAGCTATATCGTCGGAATTGACCCTAATTTCAGATCTAGTTTATAATACAGGTTTTAATTTTTTTCTTAAACATAATAAACATAATAATATTATTAGATCTATTATAAAAATAATTTAGTATCTTTTTATTTCTGAGATAATTTAAACTCGAGTTTTTCTTTGCTATGTAAATATTTTTTGCATTCTCATTTTTTAATGTATATGTGCGTCGAATAAAAATTATATTTTATTCATCCGATTTTGCTCGGTGAATTCATAACTACGCGAATTCGCAACTACGTAACCGGAGCAACTGAAGCAAGCCCACCCGCGGTTGCCTAAATAGAGGAATCATCTCAAGTATATTTATCCACGTGATCTTCGAATAACAAACGCGGAAATCCTTAAATCCTAAATCAACCTGGCGCGAGCCGAAACGAAGACAGACTGCAAACAAACGGCGGCAGTCGAACCGTGGAGAACTTGTGGTCCAATGTGGCGAAAGTCAAATATTAGATCACTAAATAAGACGTGCTTTGTGTTCGGTCGAATTAAGCGATTTTACGGTGGTGCGTCTAAGCTATTTTCAATAATTTTTGACATTTTTTACATGATTATGATATTTTACATTGTGTTTGTTAATATAATAATATAACAAGAATTTTTTCTCTTCTTGATTATAAGACTAGTAAAATCGTAGCATAAAAAATATCCATTTATTTATTTACCATTGAAAAATCTGTATATTAAATGTATGGTGATTCGATTTATATATATGTATATAATATTCAAAATCTTTTATCATTAAAGTCGTAAAAAATGCTTTTCGCGAGACGTTCTCAACTCTCTTCTCTTATCTGAAACGAGTTGCTTTCACAGCCGCAGTAGCGGCACTGACGAAGAGCAGAAAACGAAGAAACTGAAGACAAGACAATGACCGCTGTTCAAACATGTTCGGACTTCAAACGACCGCCGGCGTATCTCGTACTCTGTGCGACGACTGCACATACATTAGCGGTCCGCGATAGTGAAGGAGAGATTGCTGCACCTCCAGGGTGTCGTATTCTCTCGGGCGTTTAAGGACATCCGGCGTCGGAAGGAAATGATAAATATTTGGGAAGGTGCTACGCGGTACGATGCAGACGCAGCGAAGCCTTTCATTTGTAAGGACACGTCGAAATTAGTGTACCAGGGGCAACGATGAAATACGGAGAAAGGGGAATATTTTGCTAGGACCGAGCCATAGCGCGGTTATATTCAAACATCGTCTTTACAAGCTGCGTTTTCAACTCTAACACATATAACACATTATGTATCTATATTATATTTTTATTATATTTTCTATAAAAAGTTTATTTTTAATATCAAATTGGCATACATTTGCATATATATTTCCACTTAATTAAAATCACATGCCATTCGTTTTTTTCTAATTGGAATTTATAATGAGGCCGATTGCACTTTTTACGAACTTTCTTTACAAGAGAAAATAATATACTTTGCAAGAGTATTTCGATAATCTTAATAATTCTTTCGATAATTGTGACAACTTTGATTAATCGTGATTTTTCAGCAATCAGCTGGAGAATCGCCGCACGCGCTCACAGCGAGAGCAGCTGGCGCGGCGTCGAACGCGTCGTCGAATTATCGTACGCGTAAAGTTTTATTTTTAAAGCAGGGATCCCGTGTGGCGACGCGCGTATCTGCATACGCCGAAGATTCATCCACCGAGTTGACTGACGAGCGCCGCCTTCCCCTAATCGTTCGATCGCCAAAAAATTTACAAAAAGACACTACGGCGCGCCGTACGAGAAGGCGACAAGCGAGAGGAACGGGAAGAGGGGCGGAAGGAGGGGGGGGGGCG